GACAGGAAAATCAAGTTCCTGCGATCAGATCGTGGAGGAGAATACTTGAGTCATGAGTTTGGCACACACTTAAGAAAATGTGGAATAGTTTCACAACTGATGCCGCCTGGAACACCTCAGCGTAATGGTGTGTCCGAACGTCGTAATCGCACTCTATTAGATATGGTGCGATCTATCATGTCTCTTGCCGATTTACCACTATCTTTTTGGGGGTATGCTTTAGAGACTGCCACATTCACTTTAAATAGGGCTCCGTCGAAATCCGTTGAGACGACACCGTATGAATTATGGTTTGGGAAGAAACCTAAGCTGTCATTTCTAAAAGTTTGGGGATGCGATGCTTATGTCAAGAAACTTCAACCTGAAAAGCTCGAACCCAAATCGGAAAAATGCGTCTTCATAGGATACCCTAAAGAAACTATTGGGTATACCTTCTACCTCAGATCCGAAGGCAAGATCTTTGTTGCCAAGAATGCATCCTTTCTAGAGAAGGAGTTTCTCTCGAAAGAATTAAGTGGGAGGAAAGTAGAACTTGATGAAGTATTACCTCTTGAACCGGAAAATGGCGCAACTCAAGAAAATGTTCCTGAGGTGCCTGCACTGACTAAAGAGGAAGTTAATGATGATGATCATGAAACTTCAGATCAAGTTGCTACTGAACTTCGTAAGTCCACAAGGACACGTTCCGCACCAGAGTGGTACGGCAACCCTGTCTTGGAAATCATGTTGTTAGACAACGGTGAACCTTCGAACTATGAAGAAGCGATGGCGGGCCCGGATTCCGACAAATGGCTAGAAGCCATGAAATCCAAGATAGGATCCATGTATGAAAACGAAGTATGGACTTTGACTGACTTGCCTGTTGAGCGGCGAGCCATAGAAAATAAATGGATCTTTAAGAAGAAGACAGACACGGATGGTAATGTGACCATCTATAAAGCTCGGCTTGTCGCTAAGGGTTATCGACAAGTTCAAGGGGTTGACTACGATGAGACTTTCTCACCAGTAGCGAAGTTAAAGTCCGTCCGAATCATGTTAGCAATTGCCGCATTCTATGATTATGAAATATGGCAAATGGACGTCAAAACGGCATTCCTTAATGGTTTCCTTAAGGAAGAATTGTATATGATGCAGCCGGAAGGTTTTGTCGATCCTAAGAATGCTGACAAGGTGTGCAAGCTCCAACACTCGATTTATGGGCTGGTGCAAGCATCTCGGAGTTGGAATATTCGCTTTGATGAGATGATCAAAGCATTTGGGTTTACGCAGACTTATGAAGAAGCCTGTGTTTACAAGAAAGTGAGTGGGAGCTCTGTAGCATTTCTCATATTATATGTAGATGACATACTTTTGATGGGAAATGATATAGAACTCTAGGACAGCATTAAGGCCTACTTGAATAAGAGTTTTTCAATGAAGGACCTTGGAGAAGCTGCATATATATTAGGCATCAAGATCTATAGAGATAGATCAAGACGCCTCATAGGTCTTTCACAAAGCACATACCTTGATAAGATATTGAAGAAGTTCAATATGGATCAGTCTAAGAAGGGGTTCTTGCCTGTGTTGCAAGGTGTGAAATTGAGCTCAGCTCAATGTCCGACCACGGCAGAAGATATAGAAGAGATGAGTGTCATCTCCTATGCCTCAGCCATAGGTTCTATTATGTATGCCATGCTGTGTACCAGACCTGATGTAAACCTTACCGTAAGTTTGGTAGGAAGGTACCAAAGTAATCCCGGCAAGGAACACTGGACAGCGGTCAAGAATATCCTGAAGTACCTGAAAAGGACTAAGGAAATGTTTCTCGTCTATGCAGGTGACGAAGAGCTCGTCGTAAAGGGTTACGTCGACGCTAGCTTCGACACAGATCTGGATCACTCAAAGTCACAAACCGGATACGTGTATATTTTGAATGGCGGGGCAGTAAGCTGGTGCAGTTGCAAGCAGAGCGTCGTGGCGGGATCTACATGTGAAGCGGAGTACATGGCAGCCTCGGAGGCAGCGCATGAAGCAATTTGGGTGAAGGAGTTCATCACCGACCTAGGAGTCATACCCAATGCGTCGGGGCCGATCAAGCTCTTCTGTGACAACACTGGAGCTATTGCACTTGCCAAGGAGCCCAGGTTTCACAAGAAGACAAGGCACATCAAGCGTCGCTTCAACTTCATTCATGAAAATGTTCAAGATGGGGACATAGATATTTGTAAAGTACATACAGACCTGAATATAGCAGATCCGTTGACTAAACCTCTCCCTAGAGCAAAACATGATCAACACCAGAATTCCATGGGTGTTCGATTCATCACAATGTAACTATATTATTGACTCTAGTGCAAGTAAGAGACTATTGGAAATATGCCCTAGAGGCAATAATAAAAGCATTATTATTATATTTCCTTGTTCATGATAATTGTCCTTTATTCATGCTATAATTGTGTTATCCGGAAATCGTAATACATGTGTGAATAATAGACACCAACATGTCCCTAGTAAGCCTCTAGTTGACTAGCTCGTTGATCAACAGATAGTCATGGTTTCCTAACTATGGACATTGGATGTCATTGATAACGAGATCACATCATTAGGAGAATGATGTGATGGACAAGACCCAATCCTAAACATAGCATAAGATCGTATAGTTCGTTTGCTAGAGTTTTCCAATGTCAAGTATCCTTTCCTTAGACCATGAGATCGTGTAACTCCCGGATACGTAGGAGTACTTTGGGTGTACCAAACGTCACAACGTAACTGGGTGACTATAAAGGTATACTACGGGTATCTCCGAAAGTGTCTGTTGGGTTGACACGGATCAAGACTGGGATTTGTCACTCCGTATGACGGAGAGGTATCACTGGGCCCACTCGGTAATGCATCATCATAATAAGCTCAAAGTGACCAAGTGTCTGGTCACGGGATCATGCATTATGGTACGAGTAAAGTGACTTGCCGGTAACGAGATTGAACGAGGTATTGGGATACCGACGATCGGATCTCGGGCAAGTAACATACCGATTGACAAAGGGAATTGTATACGGGGTTGCTTGAATCCTCGACATCGTGGTTCATCCGATGAGATCATCGAGGAGCATGTGGGAGCCAACATGGGTATCCAGACCCCGCTGCTGGTTATTGACCGGAGAGCGATCTCGGTCATGTCTACATGTCTCCCGAACCCGTAGGGTCTACACACTTAAGGTTCGGTGATGCTAGGGTTGTAGGGATATGTATATGCAGTAACCCGAATGTTGTTCAGAGTCCCGGATGAGATCCCGGACGTCACGAGGAGTTCCAGAATGGTCCGGAGGTAAAGAATTATATATAAGAAGTGCTATTTCGATCATCGGGACAAGTTTCGGGGTCACCGGTATTGTATCGGGACCACCGGAAGGGTCCCGGGGGTCCACCGGGTGGGGCCACCTATCCCGGGGGGGCACATGGGCTGTAGGGGTGTGCGCCTTGGCCTGCATGGGCCAAGGGCACCAGCCCCAAGAGGCCCATGCGCCTAGGGTTAAGGAAGGGAAGAGTCCCAAAGGGGGAAGGCACCTCCGAGGTGCCTTGGGGAGGAGGGACTCCTCCCTTGGCCACCGCCCCCCTAGGAGATTGGATCTCCTAGGGCCGGCGCCCCCCTAGGCTCCCTATATATAGTGGGGGAAGGAGGGCCTCTCAATCCACGCCTTTGGTGCCTCCCTCTCCCTCTCCAACACATCCTTCTCCTCCATAGTGCTTGGTGAAACCCTGCCGGAGTACTGCAGCTCCACCACCACCACACCGTCGTGCTGCTGTTGGAGCCATCTTCCTCAACCTCTCCTTTTCCCTTGCTGGATCAAGAAGAAGGAGACGTTACGCTGACCGTACGTGTGTTGAACGCGGAGGTGCCGTCCGTTCGGCGCTAGGATCTCCGGTGATTTGGATCACGTCGAGTACGCCTTCCTCATCCCCGTTCTTTGAACGCTTCCACGCGTGATCTGCAAAGGTATGTAGATGCAATCCGATCACTCGTTGCTAGATGAACTCCTAGATGGATCTTGGTGAAACCGTAGGAATTTTTTTGTTTTCTGCAACGTTCCCCAACACGACCCCCCCACGCGCTCCCTTTTACTCAATTTTTAAAAAAAACGCTAATGGGCTGACCCGATTACTCTAGAGATCTCTCACTAAATGTGAGACTACCCCGATTACTCTAGAGATCTCTCACTGAATGTGAGACTACCCCGATTACTCTAGAGATCTCTCCCTGAATGCGAGACTACCCCGATTACTCTAGAGATCTCTCGCTGAATGCGAGACTGCCCCGATTACTCCAGAGGCTTCAACAAGAGATCCATACGTCTCGCTGAATGCGAGACGTAGCTCTCGCGTCTATCAGGCGTTGAGGTGGAGGTCTTCTTTGGACGGGCGAAAGCCTTTGTAAGGCTGGAAAGGGTATAAGATCCGTTCTTGTCCTCCCCCCTTCTCCATTTTCTCAAAGGCTTGTTCTAAATTTCTTCGAACAATAGATAGCATTTGCTATTTTTAAAGAAGAGGAAAAACTTGGGTGGTGACTACGCAGTAGACATAATTTTGTAGCTTTATTCAGAACCGAAAGCTTAGAACAATTGACTAAGCCACCTTGAAACAAGTATCAAATCAAACATGAACGCAAAGAAGATAATGAAATAAATCCGTGTCTGGTAGTACATTATACTTGTGGTACATATGGGCACGTCAGGTGTCCCATACAATATCTCACTTCTCTGTCGACGAACTTGTCAAGCATTGTGTAGATGTTGCTTCAGTAGCACTTGGGAAAGTCCTCGGGAGGCGGAGGAAGGATATTCGGGGCCGCACCATTGAGCACCTCGAACACCATTGCCAGCCCCAACGGCAGGTGCGCGTCCAAGTGACAGTGCATGAACCACATACCTACAGCCATGGCGATAGGTTAACAACTTAACATACACAGTCCGAGGCTAGCATCAAAGCATATGAAACAGACAACTAATTTCACATAAACTCACCTGGATTGTTGGCCACGAACCGTATGACGGTCCACCCGCCGCCGGGCACGATGACGGTGTTGCGCACGCGCGGGTTCACGAGGTTGAACGTGGCGTTGGGGTCGAAGCGCCCCAGCCCCTGCGCGAGCACGAAGAAGTTGAAGCCGTGCAGGTGGATCGGGTGGTTCTCCGTGCCGAGGGCGCTGCTGTACGCTGCACTCTGCAGCACCACCTCCACCACGTCGCTGTAGTTGAGCCTCTTCACCGACGTGGCCTTCCGGATCCCCGGCAGCGGCGGCGGGGAGCTCGGGAAGTCCTCCGTGTACACGCCCGGGACGCCGTCGAAGGACGCCTGCAGGAGCGACGCGTTCCTCGGGAACTGGAACGAGTTCCTGTTCATGAACGCAACCAGCGCGAACCCCCCGCACCTCGTCTGGTCCGACGCGCACGGCGCCTGGTCCACCCCGAACTCCACCAGCATGCTGTGGTCCACCGTCGTTGGCAACGGCGGGTCGACCGGCCGGACGAGGCCCCTCAGAGACCAGTAGAACCTGCCGGCGGTGACCACGTCGGTGGGGGCGGGCATGGCCGGCATGGAGGGGGCCGTGCCGTTGGCCGCTCCCGTGTACGTCACGATGCCGGTGACGGTGCCGTTGTTGAACCGGATCTGGACGGTCTTGCTCTCGAGCACGTTGGCCGCCATGTAGTACCGGCCGCCCGGCGCCGCCGAGGTGGCCATGAGCGCGTCCACCGTCTGGCCCGGCGCGATGACGATGACGTCGGTGGCGTACGGCTCGGTGTAGCTCGCGTCGATGGCGACCACGGTGAAGTTGTGGCCGGCCACCTTGAAGAAGAGCTCGACATTGACTGCGGCGTTGATGATGCGGAGGAGGTACGTCTGGTTGTACTCCACCTCCACTTCGAAGATACCAGCACCTAGTTTTGTTCAAAATATACACAAAGGCAAATTTTCAGTCGCATATATTGCTGTGATTCGACGCGATTATGGAAGCATTTTCACTTGTAAATTGGGTTGTACGTACCTCTGCAGGGGGTCTGGTCTCCCGGCTTGCCGTTGATGGTGAGCGCGTCCGACACCTCCGGCCCTAGGCCGGTCAGGTGCGCGTCTTTCTCCACGTCGTCCACGTTTTTGTTCCACCACTCGCCTGCCAAAGAAAGAATTGCATGTGAAGACTTGCAACATGTATGTTTGCAGTGTACGTTAACACGCGTATGTATGTATACCTAGTATGATTGGAATTTCGCCGTATGGTGCTGCGTAAGGGTAGCCGTCGGTGCCATTCCTGGGCTTTATGATGAGCGCGCCGTAGACGGTGGCGCGGAGGAGCGAGGAGTGGGCGTGCCACCACAGGGTGCCCTCCTGCCCGGTGATGTTGAAGCGGTACGTGAAGTTGCCGGCGGGCTGGATGGGGCACTCCGTGATCATGTGAGCCCCGTCGGCCCACCCGCTCAGCAGCTGAAATATGCCGTGCCTTTGCAACGATGATGGCCACCCGTAAGTTCGACGTACATCGTGAAACGTAAAGAAGTGCTCCCTTCGATCCATGTTACTTATCGCTTAAACGGATGTAAAACCATGTGCTAGTGAATCGTTACCAGTGGAGTGATAATGGGTACGGCGAATCATTCACGACGTGGACGACCACCGTGTCGCCCTCGGTGGCCTCGATGGTCGGCCCGGGCATCTGCTCGTTGGCCGTGTAGATCACGCTGTCCATGCAGAGCTGGGAGATGTTCATGCCGCCCACCTACGTGTTGCCATACATGCATCGGTACACACACAAGTTACAAAGATGGAACATCGCCATGGTTGGGCACATGAATATGCTACTAGTGGAACGACTTACTACACAACTAAATATGCGGTTGAACTAAGGCTTGAAAACTGCAGATGATAATGATATCAAGAAAGGGTGCAGGAAATTTACAGTGAAGTTGTGCTCCACGACTGCGGCGCTCGCCATGGCCGCGCAGAGAGCCAGCAAGAGCGGCACGAGCATGGCTGCTCCCTCCATCACCCCAACTCCTGAGCAGCAAGCAAGATCAGTTAGCAAACTACAAAACTGTAAGCTTGGTCGTCCTTCTATATATAGAGATATAGCCACTTGTTATCTACACGTACGTACGTACTTATCGTTTGCGGAACTAATCGGCAATGGAACAAGTCTTGCAACCGACGATCATCGATCCAATGATCCTCTTGGCGTGTGAGCTCGCGTTAACGATGTAATCCGACTGCGACGACGACATATAATAACCGTGGCTTGCACCTGGTCGGACGTAGCTTAATCGCGGAAGTACCCGTCATTTTGTTGATAGCGGCTGCAATTTGTGTTCCAGACTACTTCACAAGGAAATTTACACTAAATACAAACGGCGTAGCTCCAAGGTCAACCCTCCGTAGCAGGCTCTCAAAGAATGAGGGGGCAATGGATTGATGCCGAGAAAGATTTCTTCTTATTACGTGACGATTTCAAATGCTCAAGAGTAGCCGTCACCTCCCTATGTATTCTGCGTGATTTGACTTAATCATGACCATTTTATATTGCCTCCAGAAAACAAGTCTTATCATCGTGTGGTTTACCCAAACCGCAGAACATAGACGTCAGTTGTATCTTAAACACAACACCTAATTAAATGTTGGGATCCAAATGTGAATAGTGTCTACAACTTTGTCTTTTTTTGTTTCTCTCTGTTATATCAAATATGGATTCGAAATTCTCTTTGATTGTAGACATATATCATGTCAACATTCGCACAAAGAAAATCAGAGATTTTCAAAACCTTTTAGAAGTGCTACCATGAGATGGTAGCATGGTAGAACCTAATGTGTGGTTTCACGTGATATTCGCCCACAAAATGTTGATGTGCAACCCTAATTTTTTTTGGTAAATAGAATTTTATTCGTATGTCATAACATCATTACATCGCAGTTTAAGTTGATCTATGATACATGCAAGTGCATCCAAATGCCACTGTCGAGTTCACATTCCCACACGCAAAGTGGGCAAGCTCGCGAGCAACTAAGTTACACTCGCGTTTAGCCTCGTGGATTCGAAAATCTGGTAACAAGGAAATCGAATACCGTGCCTCTCGATGGTGATCTCAAAGAATTGTCTAGTCACTGACGCGGTCGGATTCCACAACAACAGGCATCCACACTCAATATGTCACCAGGGAAATTCCTTCAGCACATGCTAGGATCTCTATCTCCTGCACACATGAGCATTGGCAAATGAAGCGCCAATAGGATAGGAGAGAACATCACCTTGCCAATTCCAAACAAGCATGCCTAAGCTTTGCATGTTTCCTAGACAAAACTCTCTCAAAATAGGCTTTCGCCCCGCTCTATATATAAAGCACCGACCAAAATCAATATGGTTAATATTAAGCTTTGCCTAGCTGTCCGGCGGGCATTCCCATACTCTATCTCAATTGTACAAACATGACCACCACATGCCTCTTCAGCACTAATCTTTTTTCCTTCTGATATATTTTTTGTGTGGAATTTTCCATTTTTTTTGAAACAGAGGCAAAAGCTTTGCCTTTTTCATTAATAGAGAAGAAGATAGTTGCCCGGTTAATTACAGGAAAACCGTGCGAAAACCGGTACATCAAGGGTCAAACCCACACACAGACCCGACAAGCCAACAAAGACCCCGCAGATGGCGCGCTACAAAAGCCATCCCGCGAAACAACATGCGGACTACTCCCAGAATAATAAGCACAGGAGAGGAAGGCACATACTAATGGCTAACATCATGACATGCAGTCCCCACGCCCGAGGCGACGCCTGCCAGTTGGTTGACATTCTTGATCTTCGCTGCATTGACAAGGTGAATCAGCCCTTGGGTGATTGCAGGCACGGCAGAAAGGCTTTTGACCAGCTCGATGAAGACGTGTAAAGTGTTTTGGCCCTCAAATGCCGATGCGCATCCCTTTGCAACGCCCCACACCTCATTGGAGGCAGAAGTAGGAAGGCTAAGCTCGGTGGCCACCTTGTCATACAAGGCCATAGACTTGACCGACGCATGCTGCCCTGTAGACTCCACGTCAGCAACATACCTTGAGGGCGCCAACCCAACCTTGTCGCCAATGTCATCAACACCTTTGCTCCCATCTTTTGGTAGCGTCAAACCATGAACGGAAGTGCCTAAGGAGCAAGGTCCCTGCAAGGAGGCTGGGCTCAACCCACGCTCACCATCAGACACCTCCGCCTGCTCCAAGAGGTCGGACGCACGTGCCAACCACAGGCACAAAGAGTCCTCCAGCTTGCGCAGCGGGCGGAGCGCAAACTCAACCAAGCTTTGCAGCTCCGCACGAAACGAGACAAGCATAGCATCATCAGATGTCGCAACACCCCGATCAACAGAACCTTCGCTTGGAGCTTCAACAATCCTTGCAGACTCAGGAGCTTGCACACACACTGCGGGAGCAACAACCGAAGCCCAAGAGCGCCCATCTGAGGAAGGGCAAGGCGGAGCTGGGGGGTCACGCACACAGTGGCGAATAGCTTTGACGGAGGAGTGACGCAGAGAACAGTCCCTCTCACGGTGTCCAGAGCGAAGACAAGTGAGGCATCGAAACGGGTCGCGGCAGGACGCAACCTTGTGGTCCGGAGCCAAGCAACGGAAACATCGACCACGGGTTCTCCTCTTGAATGTGTCGGCTTGCACAGACCTCGCATCATGAAAGGTCGGGGACGTGGAAGACTTGCTGCAAGGCACATGACAACGGGGACGACGCCTTCGTCCGACGTAAATCCAGGAACCATCCCCGGGTTGTGTGACCACAGCTTCCGCCTGATCGCAAGGATACAAGCAAGCAGTCGACGCACCGACCGCACCAGAGCATGAGCCTTCGACAACAGACGTTGCCGTCTTCGGTGGCGCCAGGTCCCCTTTGCCAGAATCGCTGTTGTCACGATCCTTGCCTGAACCCTGGCCATCTACATCGACCAGAGATGCCCACGGCCCCGCATGAGCAACATTGGCGTCAACAGAGCACAGGGAATACTGGGAGGCAGCCGGCGGCGACCGTGGAGCAAGCTCCTCCTCTCCGTCGTCGTCGTCGTCCTCCTCCTCGCCAGCGGAGCTCCAGAGGGGCGGCGGTGGCACTACCGACATCACCAGATCGGGCGGATGTTTGCCCACATCCTTGAGAACAGAGCAACAAGGCAAGCGCTTCATGGTGTAGGGAACGATGGCCGGCGGCAGATGGGCCAGCTCCACAGTCCCCTCGCCATCGACGGCGGAGCACCGGGAGCCAGGCCTGGCCCCGAGCAGCACCCCCATCACATCGCCAGGAGCATCGCTCCGGACAGCCGGAGGCGACCGAGAGACGGGATCCAGATCCGCCTGATCTGGATCGAGCGGGGGAGGGGCGATGGGGATCGACGCCGGTGGCTCCGGCGGCTGGTTGGAGGAGGCGCCGGCCAAGGTGGCGGGCGCGGCGGGTGACGGAGCTGGGAAGCTCGTCGCTGCAGCCGGTGTGGTCGCCGCTGCAGCCTTCTGGGAGCGTGAGTGGGAGACCTGCGCACTCCGCCGGCCACCGTTCTCCTGCCGCATCCTACAGGCTGGGGGTAGCGGCCGCGAGCGCGGGAGCACACGAGGCGCCGGTAGGGTGGCCGGCGGGGCCGGGGTGGCCGCCGCCGGTGGGGGCTGGTGGAGGGGCACGGGGTCGGGGTCGCGAGAGAGCCGTTGCATCGCTATCCTTTTCTTTATCGATTTCATTTGACGACTGAGCCTTCGGGGGAATGGAAATGGGCGAGGCCTCGCACCCGGGGCATCCCGGAATTTTCCATTTGATATCTACTATTGCACCAACTTTAAGATTTCGGGGTGACGACCAGTAGTTATTGTGAAGCATCTCCTTTCCCATGCGCCATGTCTGATTGCGCAAGTGCCATGTACGCCATAACAATTGAGGGATCCATGCACCCCCATCCTTAGAAACAAGTATAGTAGCATAAGAAGCCACTCCAGAACAAGGCAAATAATGTGAAAGAGATAATTATATCCTATATTATTATAGATAGGACTCTTAGGGTGTCCCCAATATGTGAAAAATTGGGTCTCAAGCAAAAAAAAAAAAACAATCCCTAAGGTTTGGCCACAAACATTGTGAGAAGGTTTTTAAGCCAATTTTGCAAAGACTGGGCATTTGTGCTATGGCCAAGCCAGAAGAGAATATAATACACTATATGTATTGTAGCGGCATCTTTTCACTCATAGGTGAGTTCCTCTATTGAATAGGTGGTTGCCCCATTATTGTATAAGCCCATCTTAAGATCCAAGGGAGGTCTTATATTGTAGGACTTTCGGTTTGTTATATCAGACGAGGTCGATAGACCTTAAGGCCAATTTATAAGGAATAAAGACAGAAGGCACCCTTATCGTAAACCAAGGCAAGTGATTTCTCTCACGAAAACATATTAAATGGTAGTTCACTACATGTAAATATATATTTAACCCTTACAGTTTACAAAAACATAGATTATTTGAAGAATCACGTCTTATATTTGATGCATATGATACACCTTAGATACATATTGGGACCTTATGTGTACCATTCGGTTAATGTTAGGACACATACTATAGGCGAACCATTTTAGCTAATTTAGTGTTTGTCATTATTATAACGTCATCTTGTATATGTAGAACTAGAACCAAAACAAAAGTGCACTCTACTCTGCTTCTTGAATGTATCTTTATTTACGTGTAAGACTAGATAAAAATGTATGCTAACACTACTAATATAAAAAAATCAAAATTGATAGTCTTGTTCGTGTTACTAGCACGGTCCATTGTAGAATATGATTTCAGATTCTATCTTTTGTTTATGAAAAGGGTTGAAACACTTAAATTATGTTAATGAACTAGGGAACTCGAAGACCATGTAAACCAACATAACTTATATTTATGTTTGTTCGAAACTATCGCGTTAATTAAAGATCATGTCAATG